GACAATAGGATAGAGGGAGCAGTCTCACGAAGTGAGGATATTTCTGGTGAAACCTTTTCAGGCAATATACTTACCTCGGTTTCAAGTAAATCATCAGAAGAATTGTTAACAGAACTATCAGGTAATTCAGTATTGGGGCTCTTTGAGAAATGATCTATAACAGTTTGGATTTAATCATTAGTAAACTTTGATATTTTATTTGCACTATATGTTTTGATATATTTAATTTTATCTAATCCGATTTTTTCGAACAACCTATAATTTTTTCTAGCTCTTTCGATTTTTTTATACAGAGTTTCTCGTTTGGTGCCTGGATTTTGAGTAATAATAAAATCATAAATTTGACCTTTGGCTTTTTTCATACTCACTTTATCTCTAATCATGATTTCATTAAGACTTTTGTCAAATGCTATAATAAAATTGCTCCAGCATAAAATTTCAGCTTGATTAGCTTTTATCGATTTGTCTTCTGCATCACATGCTTTTTCATATAAGTGGGATATATTTTGGAGGATTCTTGATTTTTCCTGACCTAAGGTCAGCGAAATTTTAGTCACATGATCTGAAGATGTAGAATTATGTTCTTGGATAGATAAAGATGCATCATTGTAGCTGACACTAGTAGATATTTCCTGAATCAGGCCATGTTCATTTTTTCGTTCATGTAAAATTTTCTTTTTATCACATTGCCTTATATCATTGCTAACATCTTTCTTATCTTCCTCATCGATCACTTTCTCTTCTGGTAATAATTCAGAAGAAACATCCCACTCTAGAAAATCGATCTCTTTATCTTCAAAAGATACATCAGAATTTGGAACATTATTGGGTTCACCGGAATTTGAAGTAATACCAGATACATCAGATATAGGAGTATCATTACATTGTGAGTCTATCTGCTTGGGAGTATTGTTGGATTTTATTTCAGGAGAAATAGTCTCACAAGGCATAGATACTCTCGCATCTAAAGAATCAATAATCTGCATGTTCTTAATAGGTGATAATGTAGATAATTGAGTAGTAGTCACTGTATCTCTCTGTTCTAGATTCATGATTTGATTTTATGTTCCTTTAAAGTTTGCTTTAATTTCGCATTATCAGACTTAACTTTCACATTCTCAGCTTTAAGTTCGATATTCTCGACCTCAATTTCAGCATATTTCTTTTTAAGCTCAGATATTTCTGCATTCTCCTTCCTAAGTTTATCAACTTCGGCTACAAGCCTATAATTCAATTCTCTCAACGAATCTTCTTTAGATTGTGTATTTGCCATTTTTTTATATAAAATACGGATATATTCAATTCTTTTATCATGGAGATATATATTCGCGTGATGAAATTTTGAGATACATGCTATGTAAACAAAAATAAATAAATAAAATCACATGACTGCGTGAATTTTTTCA